GTTTCCACAGAAAGGATGAAAACAGTTGAAGTTCCATAGCCTTGGTAGCTTGTGTCTTTATTTGGTCCATGTTGCTGGCTCTGTTCTCCAGAGGATGAATGCAGGGATGCAGTGTTACCCCACCATCACCATGATTGCTAAAATCCCCAGAAGAGCAGAGAAGCCAAAGACCATGTGCCTTACTTTCCCTCTGTTCCATCTCCTTATCACTGAAGTGAGACAGTTTGTTTGCAGCAAATAATCTGTCTTTGAGTCAGCCAAACCAGCATTGTCTTCATGCTCTTTTGGTTGTTTTCTTGATCTATTCATTATTTACCCTTTATTAACTGAGATAAAGAATCAGGATTCTCAGTGAAGTTCTTAATTTCACATTATGAATAATTCTTGTCCCTGCAAAGGCTGGACTTTTCTGGTCTGTATTCACTTTGAATGGGCATACTGGGATTTCAAGTGGAAGCAAATTCAGGATAGATGTTGATTGCATTTTGTGCTGTGAGAAGTGGCGTGTTTCCCCAAGGCACTTTGCCTTTGTAAGATGACTAAAGCCATAATTAATAAGTGTTCCAGCTGCAGGAGCTAGGAGCATCTTTGTGGGTTACATAGTTAGGTATATGATCAGATTATTTCACACAATACATTTTTGTTGGTTGAACTTTTCTGGTTATTAAAAATAATATGTGCTCATTATGAAAATTGGAAATTACAGAAAAATAGAAACCCAAATTACTCAGAATCTCATTACCCAGAGATAGTACCTGATTTTTATTACCTATTTTTATGTCTTGAATACAGGCAATTTTCTCCCCCCAAAAATCATTTCATTATATAATCCATTATAATGCAGTTTAACAAAAAGGGACTGACTCTTATTTATAAAGGAGGCTGACACAAATAATCCAACAAATAAGTAAAAATAACATTGAATTTTTGCCTGTCCATATCTTCTTCAAGCTCCTTTTTCCCTTCCGCTCAGCAGTACTGGAGACTCCTGAAATGTTATTGGAAACCTCTGCAGTAGGCTCCAGTCTCCTGCTCAGTGTATCATGCAGGCCTGAGGGAAAAAACCTGAAAACAGAGCTAAGAGAGACAGAAAGTGTGGTGACAGGATGACCAATGCCAGTGCAGCTGACAAAGGTCCTGGTCCATCCAAGCCACTCATTTTTATTAGTAATCAGTTGGAGTAAAGGTGAGCTACGTACGAGAGCGTGCAGTACTGTGGTTTGTATGGAAATTACTGTAACCATGCCTTGTAAAGGACAAGACAAAGCATTCTCAAATTAGGAACAGAATAGACAAAATATACGGCTGTAATTAGAACATTGTCCTTCTAGTTAAGGAGGTTTTAATTGTGGGAACACAATTTGGGTGTGAGTTGCTCTGACCTCGGCATGTAGGCTGCGGCCAGACCCACTTCTATAAACAAGTCAATTGTGGGGTTAACTCTTTATGGCCTGTACTACTTACAGCCTGCTTTGGGCATAAACAGTATTGCAGTCTCCTGGACACCAGCTCTTCTGTTTATTTCTGCGCATGGAAAATTCATTTTGTTCATGCTGTTAGACTTCCGGTGTTTCTCCATTAGTTTATTGATTAATCACTTCTCTGACAGCAAAGAATGAACATTTCCTGTCTGGTTTAAAAAATTAATCAGAAGTAACTACACCTTTCTGGGCATGGTGGCACAGGCCTGTAAGCCAAGCAGTCAGGAGGCTGAAGCAGAAAGATCACCTCAAATTTGAGGCCAGCCTAGGCTACATAGTGAATTCAAGGTCAGCCTGAACTATATAGCAAGACTTTGCTCAAAAAACAGACAACAACCAAAAGAGGTAACTAGACATTTACATTTGATGGCATCTGGTCGTCGTCCTTGTTGAGACAGTTCTCTGCTTGTGATCTGTAGCACCGCACTCTCAGCGTGGCCGCCTCACTGCATTCCTTGTCTCCTTTGCTAACACCTTCCAGCCACGTGCTAGAGCGCCTGCACCTTGGCCCTCAGATCTTCTCCATGACAGGAGCTGCCCTACGGCTGATGGCCTGCGCTGAGGATCTAATTTGTGTCTGTACTCTGTTCCTCCTTCACCTCCACAGAAGTTCAGTATCCCAGGTCCCAGAGCCGCTGTCTTTGCCCAGTGGCCCAGCACAGGACCCTAAGTTAGCCTTCTTACTAAATCACATTTCCTCAGCCTCACAGTTGTTACCTGATCTGCCATCGAGGTCTGCTATCTCTATCTCCAAAGCACGTCCAGATCCTACCACATCTGATCCTGTCTGCTGTGCCTGTGCTCTTTCAGTGGATGGTGGCCTCTTAATTGGTCCTTAGCACCCTTATCCCCATCCTTGTTTATGACGTCTGTGGTCCATTCAGTAGCTAGAGAAGTCTTTTTAAAGGGTAAAGAAGACCTGTGCATAATGCTGTCATGAAGAAATGTTGATTTGGGATCTGGAGCAAGGAATGAATATACAAGATGACTGAAGAGAAGATACTAAAAGAGTAAGAGAAATGAAGAGAGAATGAAGCCGTAATCTGTAAGTTGAAAATGGTGCGTATGGACGGAAACACTGCTTTTTTTTTAGGACTCAAGATCACATCATAATGAGGATTTTTTTTTTTGAGACAGGGCCTCCTACCAGCCGTAGGTCCTGGCCAAGGTGAGCCGTGGCAGCCTGTGGGTGGCCAGGGTGCTGGTGTGTTAGATGCAGTGACTAATTACGTGGGTCTGTCATATTATTTGTCCCTGTGGATTTGTGCTGGAAACGCAAGTGGTTCTAACTTGTGCTTGATGGAGACTTGCGAAAGAATCAGTAGAAGAAATTGTATGGAGAAACCTGTATACATTACTGTTACTGGCTCTTCTGTGTGTTTTGTTTTGTTTTGCTTTGTTTGAGACAGGGTCTTGCTGTGTAGTTCAGCCTGGCCTTGAACTCATTATGTAGCCCAGGCTGGTCTCGAACTCATGGGAATCCTCCTGCCTCAGCCTCCCATGTGCTGGGATTACAGACATGCACCACCATGCTCAGCAACTGTTACTGGCTTAAACGTCTTAACAGCTAATATAGCTGCAGGATCTTTTGTCTCAAGCTAAGTGGAAAATTTGCTACCAGAAATAAAAAAAAATATTGCCAGTTATCTTAACCAAGAAGTTTCAGTTTGTGCTAGTCAGCTAGAGTGGTCCAAAAGAGCCACCAGGCTTACTAATCTAAAGAATTTGAGGAGGCTCGTTTCAGAGCTGTATGTTCCGGAAAACTATCACCCTTTCAAAGTCACTGTGTTGATCTGGATTCAACTTCCAATGAGGATCTTCATGTCTGTTTCTCTCTGGAATTTTAGGATGGGCAACACATTCAGATGGTTTTTCTGTAGTTAGCTACTAGTGGAGTTCTATGGTTTCCTGATCTCATGCACAGAATTCTGCCTGTCTCTGTGAATGTCACCAACTTACTGATAGTGGAGATTTTTGTTTTACAAGGACTTGGAATGCCTGTTGTTAGATGTATGTCATGTACTTTGTCTGTGTTTTACTACTGGTAATTCCAGTTGCTGCAACTGTACCTTCATCAGTTGTTCTCTGCTGGTTATGCTCCAGCTTCATAGGCCTTTCACAGAACTTCTTCCTGTGTTCTCCACAATTTTGCCAACTTTGCTGAATACTGTTGACCAAGTCAGATTCAGATACTCCTTGTAAAGACCTCTTCACTTCCTTTTATACCAAGTTCATATCAAGAAACTGACATGTTTTCCAATAATCTTGAAACAATTGCAGGTGTCACTGTCACCTTTATGTATTTAGTTTTAGTAATTCAGGTATTGTGTGATTTGCCGGGCAGAGCATCTGCCTTGCAGGCACAAGGTCGTGAGTTCAATCCCTGGTACCAAAAACAAGGTATTATGTAATTTGTTTTTATTTAAAAATCATAAACGCTATGAAGACTATGGATTAAAATGTTAGCCTGATATATTTGACAATAATTAAAATCTTTCAAGTGCTAGAAATGTAGTATGTTTAATTATAAAAGAGTGTAAAAATGGGACCACAGTGTTGTCCCTGTTCAGAAAATTACAACTTGTTAGAGTTGCCAGAACTTTGGAGAATGAAATCAGACACTGAAGTCAAATTGTACTAAAAAGTTTCATGTATTAAAGTTTTGTAGCTGGGTGTGGTGGCGCACACCTGTAACCTCAGCACTCAGGAGGCTGAAACAGGAGGATTGCCTCAAGTTCAAGGGCAGCCTGGGCTACATAGTGAGTTCAAGACCAGCCTGAACTATGTGGTGAGAGAGTGTCTCAAAAGAAAGGGAGGGAGAAAGGGAGGGAAAGAAAGAAAAAAGAAAGTTCTGTAAAGTTAAAACAAAGACACAAATGAAATTATATATAATATAAAACAAATAGGTAGCTAGCATGGTAGTACATACCTGTAATCCCAGGACTCGGAACACAGAGGTAGGGAGGATCAAGTTTGAGGCCAGCCTGAACTTATATACCAAGACTGTCTCAAAAAAATCAAAATAGATAAATAACGAAATAATTGGCTCAAGTGAACACCCCCCCACACAGATTTCCTTTTGTCAAATCATTTGAAAGTTGATTAAAAATATTATAGGTTGGCCCATACCTGTAGTCCCAGCACTTGGCAGCCTGAGGCAGGAAGATTACTGCAAGTTTGAGACCAGCCTGAGCTACATAGTTCCAGGCCAGCCTGAACTGCATAGCTAGATTCTCTCTTAAAAAGAAAAGAAAAGGAAAAAAAAGCTTCAGTATGTATCTTCCCAAAGTAGGAACGTTCTCCTGTACAGCTACAAAACAGTACCACAGCTGAGAAATATCAATATTAATTCAATCTCATGCTCCATAGGCAGTTCTTATTCAGATTGTCCTCTTTGAAGCATCAGTTTTAGAAGAAAATCATACTATACCTTTTAAATGTGTGTGGGGTGCTTTCTCTTATAGAAAAAAAAGACTTTATTGTTGCCTTACTCTGCTTTTCTTTTTCTTTGTGGTTTAGCTGCTCACATCCGTTTTTGACAATAGCATCAAGACTTTTGGAGTAATTGAAAGTGACCCTTTTGACTGGGAGAAGACTGGAACAGATGGCTCTCTGACAACCACCACCACTTCCACCACTCCTCAGCTGCACACCCGCCTGACCCCTGCTGCCATTGGGTATGTCCCGAACAGTTCCTTCAGCGCGCATTGTATTGTATTGTATTGTATTGTATTGTATTGTATTGTATTGTATTGTATTCAGTCTTTAGTTCATCCAGATTTGTTCAGATGATCAAATGCTAAAACACAGAGGAAGGCTTATGGATTTCCTTGAATTAAACTTGCTTTTGTATATGACTGTGGAATTACCTACCTTAGAAGATAATGGTTCATCCTGTGAAGTGGGAACTTAGAGCTTCTATGATTATTGATGTCAGATTTACAGTGGGTTTTCTTCAAACATTGGTTGAAGCATTAGTTGTACTTCTGAAAAATATGTTGGGCTCTAGAAAGAATAAAATATAATTCTTTCTCTTTTTTTTTGGTACCGGGGATCGAACTTGGGACTTTGTGCTTGCAAGGCAGGCAGCGGAACCACTGAGCTAAATTGCTGGCCACAATTATTTCTAACTATACTGATACATTCTTCCTGAGTTAGTAGGAGCAAAACACATAGCATGTTTCTCTTACAAAAGTGATTTAATTTACTTAGTATATTAGGAACAGGTTATGATACATTTTCAGGTTCTCATTTTTGGTTTGGGTTTTTTTCCTTTCTGTGATAAATGAACCCAGGGAAATTGAACCCAGGACTTCAGGGATGCTGTGCAAGTGCTGTACCACTGAGTTGAATCCCCAACCCTTTTTCTTTTCTTTTCTTTTGGTACTGGCGCTTGAACTTGGGACCTTGTGCTCTCAAGGCAGGCAGCAGAACCACTTAAGTAAATCCCTGGCCTCCCAGCCCTTTTTCATTTTGAGACAGTCTCACGAATTGCCCTTGCACTTGGAATCCTCCTGCCTCGGCTTACTGAGACTTGGATTCCAAGTGTGCGCCATCACATCTGGCTAGTCCCATGTTCTTAGTTTTTAGGGTTTTGTCTTTTATATATGTTGAATGGAATTCTTCTTATTTTTTATTTTGTTTTGATTTTTGGTTTGTGTTTTTCCCATGATCTGCTTCTGTTGTGCTTTGGTCTCTGAGCAAAGTACGTATGTACTAACAGTATTCTCACACTGACTTGTCCACTCATACTCCTGAGTGTGCCATAATTTTCCTGGGAAGCAATTGTTTATCTTAGGTCAAACTCCAAATTTGAATCAGATTTTAAGAAAAGGCAGATAATATTAACTATGGGAAGAATCAAAAGTGTGGAATAAACACAAAGGGAAGGTGAAAGTCTTGAGTCATGTGTAACAGAGCCTGTGTGGAAAAGATGGTTGAGTCCCTTGAGGAGTGTGACATTATATTGATGTGCAAGGGATGAGAGGGAAACTAGGGTCAAGGGAAAACAGTAGCAATTTCAGTTGTGCAGATGTAGTTTATTTTGTCAAGAGGAGAGACGGAAAGGCTAAGGAATTCCAATAAGGAATTGGAAAGAAAGAAAATGATGCTGCGCATAAGGGGAGAAAGGATTTGGAAGAATATTTGAGTGATTACAATGTGAAAAAAAGGGACTGGGGATTTAGCTCAGTGGCACCGCCTCCCTGGCAAGCACAACGTCCTGAGTTCGATCCCTGGTACACCCCCCCGCCCGCCAAAAAAGTGATTGTCAAATCAATGAATTATTATGTTAGAATTTATATTTTAAAATCAGGTTCAAAATTCTGAATTTTCAAATTTTAAATGTTTTCTTTTATAAAATTGGCATGACATGTTTTCAAAAAGTTATTTTTTAAAAAAAATTTAATTATGTGTGGGCTTCATCTCATGGTAACTTATGATTCTGGTCTACATTTTTTTTTCTTACCTCACTTTTAGAATTGCCAATGCCACTCCTATCCCTGGAGACTTGCTTCGGGAAAACACAGATGAAGTGTTTCCAGATGAGCAGCTCAGTGACGGAGAGAACGGCCTCCCAGCTGTTGTGTCTCCAGATAGAGTGCCTGGTTCTCCGGGATACTGTCGTGCCCAGGAGAAGGATGTCTGGGAAGAGATGGATGCCAAGAAGAACAAGATAAAGCTTGGAATTTGTAAGGTATGTATTTTTTTCTTATTGCAACAAAGTATAGTTCTCAATTTTGAATGAAAAATAAGATGAAACATTGTATTGTTAGTTATTTAAATATTCATAATTGCAGTGTTTTGGCTAATTTAGACCGTAACGTTCATGTTATATGCACCAAATATTAATCTTCATCTTGTATTTTATGGAAAAGATAAAAGTAATTAAAAAATAAACAACACAAGGGCTAGATGTGTAGCTCAGTGGTAGAACAGTTACCTAGCATTCACAAGCCTCTGGGTTCAGTCCTCAGCACTGCAAGAGGGGTAGATGGGAGGGACAAAATGCATGTTAAATAAAGGACACAATTTTGTCTTGATTAGAATTGCACCAGAACCACTTGTCAGTGTGGAGGGAGATACAGATTTCGGATTTCTGAATTGTATAGCTAATGTTTAATTTAGAAGCAGATTTTTCCCAAACCTTTCTTTGATCTCATTATTCCTTGTTCTTAGGATATAGGGGCAATGAATCACAAATCAGGTGTGTGTGTTTGTATTTATAAAGGTTTGGTTAGGAAGGAAGTTAAACAGATGCTTGTGGACTGAGGCTTGGGCTCATACTTTAATGTGATTGACTGAAACCTGGCTGGTCATACTTTATGCTTAGAACAGTTGCTGACAGGAACCAACTGTCATCAGCTCTGAGGAGCCTGGCTTCTTTGGAGACAGTCACTAAGGAGATTGTCTTAGTTTTGGGCAGCTGCTGTATCAAAATCCTAAGATGGATATATTATCCTAAAATATCCTAAGTTGGGCATATTATAAGCAACAGAAATTTGTTTCTTGGAGTTTTGGAGGCTGGGAAGTCCCAGGTCAAGGCAGATTTGGTGAGGGCCTATTTTCTGCTTCCTTCTTAGTGTTTTCCTCACATGGTGGAAGAGGCAAAAGATCTCTCTTGGGTCTTTCATAAGGACACTAATCTTATTCCTGAGGGCTCCACCTCCATGACCTACCTAATCACCTCCCAAAGTCCACCTCCTAATACCATCACTTTGGGAGTTAGGATTTCAACATATGAATGTTAAAGGAATATGGAATGTCAGAACATCCCATGACAGGCACAGTACATACTTTGAAGTCGTGGGAGACATTTCCAAAAATGCTCTCTGTAGAGATGTGATATGCCACAATGCAGTCTTCTGACTGTTGAATAAACTCTCTGGCCTAACAGCTCTTAGGAATGAGTACTGAAGATTAGATGGGGGGGTGGTGGTTGTCAATAGCACAAGGGTGTGTGTGGTACTGGGGATGGAATCCAGTGCCTCATGCGTGCTAAGCACGAACTCTACTATTGAGCTACACTTGCAGCACTTTGTAATATCACTGTGTCTGTCTTGATAGCACTAAACTTGGTTTTTTGTTTTGTTTTGGTTTGGTTTTTGAGACAGGGTCTTGCTGTGTAGTTTAGGAATCCTCCTGTCTCAGCAATCCTCCTGTCTCAGCCACCCAAGTGCTGGGATTACAGGCATGGGCAACTATACCCAGCTATTGTGACTTCTTTTTAAAGTAACTAGACAATCTTAGCATTTTTATGCAAAGAGATTACACTGAGTTTTTTTAACTTTTTGCTCCTGTTTTTTTTTGGGGCGGGGGTTGTTTGAGGCAGGGTCTCCTTTTATAGTTCAGGCTGGCCCTGAACTCACCATGTAGCTCAGGGTGGCCTTGAACTCACAGCAATCCTGCCTCAGCCTCGAGAATGCTGGGATTACAGGCATGAACCACCACGCCCAGCTGTTGCTCCTGTTTTTTAAATTTCTTTGTTCAGTTTTTTTGTGTTTCTTTCCCGCTTTTTTGGATTGTAGATTTTGTTGGTTTGTTTTCTTCTTTAGTTTTCTCTTTGTACTTATTTGGAATTTAAACATTTTAACTCTGTTCTTTGAACTAGACATAGACTAGTGCATGCCTGTGATCCTAGCTACTCAGGAGGCAGAAGCAGGAAGGTCACTTGTGTCCAGGAGTTCAGGGCCAGCCTAACAAAGACATTGAGACCCCTGTTTCTAAATAAAAGAAACAAAGAATTGGGTAATCATTTTCATTCTATTCTTTTAGGAATTTCCTATGTTTTTGTGGGGTTTTTTGTACCAGGGATTAAAGTCAGGACCTTGCACTGTGAGGCAGGCGGTGGAATCACTGAGCTAAATCCCGGGCCCTTCCTATGTATTTTTGACATAAAGTCTGAAATAAAACAGTCTTAACCACCATTCTGATATTTCAAGGACCTTAGAACATTTTAGTTATCCTCCTAGTATTTTAGGTCTCTTCTTTTTTAAAAAAGTCTGTCCTTTAAAAAAATTACTCAAATTAGCTTTATTTATCGTGTGTGTTTCTTTTATACAGGTAATGTTCATGTGCACTTTCAAAGAGGTTTACCATTTCCTTTGATTTCTGAAAGTCTTGGGCTCATCTTCCTGACACATTTCCTTTAACTTTGGGCCTTTTTTTTTTTTTTTTATTTTTGCAGTGCTGGGGATCAAACCTAGGGCCTTGTGTATGCTAGACAAGCACTGTACCTACCACTGAGCCACATTCCCAGCCATTTCAGGTTTTTGATAAAACATTATTTCAAAGTTTACTTATCTAAAAATGTGTTTTAGTTTTATTCTTTCAAGATAGTTTACACTGGGTACAAAGTTTTGATTGAAATGTTTTTCTTCTTGTTTCCAGTTATTGTTATTCAAAAGTCTTATATCATTCTCTTTTATTTGTTTTCTTTGGTGGTAATCAGTTCTCCTTGGACCCTCTGACCCTCTGTCTTGCCTTCTCAGCTGCTACTCAGCCCTTGTCTGAGATGTTCTGCATCTTAACTGTGATGTGTCTGGACATATATTTCTTTATTTTGCTTAGGATACCTTGTATTTCCTGAATATTTTGATTCTTTTTTTTGGTATCGGGAATCAAACTCAGGACCTCGGTCCTTATGAGGCAGGCGGCAGCACCACTGAGCTAAGTCCCTGTCCCTGGATTCATATTTTTGTATCAGTTCTGGGAAATGTGCATCTACTGTATTAAATATTGTCTCTTTTTCTTTTTCTTTTCTTTTTGGTACCAGAGATTGAACTCGGGACCTTGCCGCCTGCAAGGCAGGCAGCAGAACCACTGAGCTAAATCCCTGGCCTGATACTTTTTCATTCTTTCAGTTCTTTCTGAGACTCCAGTTAGATATATATTGTCTTTTTATTCTATCTTTCATATTTCTTAATATCTTTTTTCGTGTTTTGCTTTTCTTTATCTTGTGTTTCACTCTTAGGTAATTTCTTTGACTGTGTTCCAGTCCACTGATTAATAGATTAATAACTCTCCCTTCTTGCTTCTTTGCTGGGGTTTTTTGGTTTGGTTTGGGTTTGAGTGTTTCTGAGACAGGGTCTTGCTGTGTTGTTCAGGCTGACCTCAAACTCACAGCAATCCTCCTGCCTCAGTGTCCTGGGTGATGAGATTACAGAGGCCTGTACTAGCACACCCAGCTTTTTTTTTTTTTTTTTTTTCTTTTTTCTTTTTTCTTTCACTGTGTAGCGCAGGCTGGCCTCAACCTTGGGGCCTTAGCCCCGCAAGTGCTAGGATTACAGGCTTGCAGCACCATGCCTGGTTTCCTTTTTTTGGCTAACTTTTTATCTTGTTAATTTAATATTTAACCAGTGATTACCTTTATAGATTTCTATCATAATGATTTATGTAAATATTTTATACATGGCTATTCTGGTTTTTGTCTGAATAAGTTTGATATCTGAAGTCTTTGAGTTTTAAGTGTTACTGTTTTAAATTATTATTTCTGCTGCCTCAATCATTGTGGCATGCCTTCTGTGTTCATTAGGGTTTTATTCATAATTAATAATTGATGAGAATTCAAATTAGGGCTCAAGGAGCCTTCCTTTGGAGAAGGTTGGGTGGAGCATACGCCTGCTTGGAGACCCTGGGCCCACAGTGCTGATCTCTCCTCAGCACAGGTTCCTGGACTTGCCTTGCTCCTCCTCCTGTGTGAGGCTGAGTCCTCTGGCAATGATACTGCCGAGGCCTTGTGAGGCCTTGTCCTTAGACGGCCCCTCTGTGCTGTCTCACGCTCAGGCTCTGTTCTGTCCAGACGCATACCATTCTGGCCTCAATCTTGTTGTTATTTGTTTTTGAGAGAAGGAATAAGAAAAGGAAGGGGAGGGAGAGACTCGTGTTTGGTGAGCTTTGTACCCTTATGAGGTTACTTACGTCTCAAAGAGACTGTACTTTCCAGGTTTTAGCTTTAGCTTAGCAGAGTAGGGTCCTGGAGGGAGATCTGGTCTGTTGTAATGCAAAATGCCAAAGTCAAGCTGGGTGTGGTGGCACACATCTTTAATCCCAGCACCCGGGAGGTTGAGACGGGAGGAATACAAGTGGCCTCCACAGTTTAGTGATGCTCTGTCTCAATAAAAAATAAAAAGCGGGATGGGGGGAGCAAGAATAAAGATGTGTTATGTACAGGCACCAACTCCTCACAATGAATGCAATCATTGTGTACTGCAAACATGTACTAATAAAGAATTTTTAGAAAGAAAAAGAGTGCTGGGGATTTAGCTTAATGGCACCACACCTACCTCACAAGCGCAAGATCGTGAGTTTGATCCCCAGTACCCAAAAAAAGAAAAAAGAAAAAAATACAAGTTGGGGATGGAGCTCAGTGAGTACAGCACCCCTGGTTTAGATCCCAGCACTAAAGAAAAAAAAAAAAGCCAGGGATTTAGCTCAGTGGTTCCACTGCCTGCCTCGCAGCTCAAGGTCCTGAGTACCATCCCCGGTACCAAAAAAAAGCCAAAGTCATTAAACATTTTTAGACTGTTTGTCTTATACCAAAAATAAAAAATAATTTTAAAATAATGAAATGTAAATATAAAGTAAGAATTCTTTTTTAATAAACGGCTAGGAGAAATGTAATTAAGTAAACTACCCAAAATATCCAAATCTTCTGAAAACATGTCTAATCATTTGTTTCTGTTCAAAGGCTGTGGTGATTTCTCACAGGGGAGATGCCTGGACTGTTTTTCATGGCCTTATTTCCCATCTTTCTAGGCTGCCACTGAAGAGGAGCACAGCCATGGCCAAGCCAATGGTGTCCTCCATGCTCCAAGCCTTGGCTCCCCGGTCCGTGTGCGCTCGGAGACCGCCCAGCCCGACAGGGACACGCGGCTGGTGCGCAGGCTACGCTCCATCCACAGCCTGGAGCTGGAGAAGCGTCTGACCCTGGAGCCCAAGCCAGATACTGACAGGTTTCTCGAGACCTGGTATAATATAGGTTTTCTTCCTTTCTAAAGGTTCTAAAGTGTTATTAGTATTTCTTTTTCTTTTTTTTGGTACTAGAGATCAAACTCAGGAACTTGCGCTTGCAAGGCAGGCGGCAGAACCACTGAGCTAAATCCCCAGCCCAGCATTGTTTTAATTTGCGTTTCACAAATGACCAGTGATGTTGAACATCTTTTCATATATTTAATTGCCATTTCTAATTCTTCATTTGAGAAGTATCTTTTTATTTCAGATGCCCATTTTTGCAATGGGTCTTTACATTTGGGGGGTCTGATTTTTTTGAGTTCTTTATATATTCTAGATAATAGTCCTTTATCTGAATAGCTGGTAACAATTTTTTCCCATTCTGTGGGTTGTCTTTTCACTCTGTTGGTGGTTTCTCTTGCTTTCTCTTTTTAATAAGATGAGATCCCAGTTGTTGATTCTTTTTAGTATTTCCTGTGCAGTGTGGGTTTTGTTCATAAAGTCTTGGCCTACACCAGTGTCTTCCAGCAGATTTAGTGTTTCTGTTTTAATACTTAGATCTTTGATCCATTTCGATTTTAGTTTAGTGCATGGTTAAAGATATATGTCTACAGGGCCAGGGATTTAGCTCAGTGGCACTGCGCCTGCCTCAGAAGCGCAAGGTCCTGAGTTCAATCCCTGGTAATGGGGTGGGGGGGAATATGTGTCTAGTTTTAATCTTTGACATATGGAAAGCCAGTTTTTCCAGCACCGTTTATTAAAGAGGCTTTCTTCCCATGAAGGTGTTTGGCCCCTTTGTCAAAAGGTGGCTAAGTATGTTTGAGTTGTTTCTGCATCCTTTAGTCTTCCATTGAGCCTTGGTTCTTTTCTTTTTTCTTTTTTCCAGTACCATGCTGCTTTTATCATAGTAGCCTTATAGTATAATTTCAAGTCAGGGATTGTTTTTTGTTGTTGGTTTTTTTTTTTGGTACTGGGGATCGAACTCGGGTCCTTGCACTTGCTCAAGTCAGGGATTATGATGCTTTCTGCCTTGCCTTTGTTGCCCAGAATTGCCTTTGCTAGTCTAGGTCTTTTCTGGTTCCAAATGAATTTTAGGATTGTTTTCTCTAATTCTGTAAGCTATGCTATTGGCATTTTGGTTTTGTTTTGTTTTGTTTTTTGTTACTGGGGATCCAACTTGGGTCCTTTCACTTGCGAGGCCGGCGGCAGAACCACTGAGCTAAATCTCTGGCCCCACTGTTGGCATTTTGATTGGGATTGTATTAAATCTGTATAACAATTTTGGAAGTATGACCATTTTCACTGTATTCTTCCTATCAAAGAAAAAGGGATATCTTTCTATTTTCTTTCTTTTTTTTCTTTTGGTTTTTTTTTTTTTGCGGTACTGGGGATCAAACTCAGTACCTTTCACATGCAAAGCAGGCGCGGTGTCACTGAGCTAAATCTCCGGCCCATCTTTCTATTTTCTTTTATTTTTATTTTTTTGGACTGGGGATCAAACTCAGGACCTTATGCTTGCAGGGCAGGCGCCAGAACCACTGAGCTAAATCCCCAGCCCATCTTTCTATTTTCTTTTATTTTTATTTTTTTGGACTGGGGATCAAACTCAGGACCTTATGCTTGCAGGGCAGGCGCCAGAACCACTGAGCTAAATCCCTGGACCATCTTTCTGTTTTCTTTTTTTTTTTTTTCATCTTTCTATTTTCTGATATCCTCTTCAATCTCTTTTTTTCAAAGTACTGTAGTTTTCCGTGTAGGGGTCTTTTACTTACTTCCTTATATGGATTCCTAGGTATTTCATTTTTTGGATGCTATTGTGAAGGGTGTTCCTTCCCTAATTGTTCTCTCAGTGAGTTTGTTATTAGTAGGCAGGAAGGTTATTGATTTTTGAGTGTTGACTTTGTATCCAGCTGCTCTACTGAATTTGTTTTTTTTAATCTAGAAGTCTTTTGGTGCATTTTTTGGCGTCTTCTATGTAGAGTATCATGTCATCTGCAAATGATAATGATAATAGAACTCCTTGCTTTCCTACCCTTATTCCTTTTCTTTCTCTTGTCTGATTGCTCTCACTAATGTTTCCAGAACTGTATTGAACCAAAGAGTGGTGACAGTGGACATCCCTGTCCTGCTTCTGATTTTAGAGTGAAAGCTTTCAGTTTTTGTTCATTTAGTATGATGTTGGTTTGTCATAGATAACTTTTATCCGATTGAGATATAGACCATCTTCCAATTTTCTGTAGGTTGTCATGAATGGATGTTGGACTTCATCAAATGTGTTTTCTGCATCTATTGAGATGATCATATGGTTTTTTGTCCTTGACTGTGTTAATATCTGTATTTATTGATTTCCATATGTTGAACCATCCCTGCATCCGTGGGATGAATCCAATTTGGTCATGGTGTATAACCTTCTTGATGATTTGCTGCATTCTGTTTGTCGGTATCTTACTGAGGATTTTTGCATCTAAGTTCTTTAGGGAGATTGGCCTGTACTTCTCTTTTTTGTTGAATCCTTCTCTAGTTTGGGTATCAGGGTAATGCTTGCCTCCAAGAATGAGTTCGGGAGTGGTGCTTCCCTTTCAGTTTCATTAAAGAGTTTAAGAAGTAGTGACATTAGATCTGTCTTCTCTAAATTTCTTGTAGAATTCAGCAGTGAATTCACCAGGGCCCAGGCTTTTCTTTGTTGGTAGGGTTTTAATTACATCTTCAGTTTCATTGACTAATATTGACTAAACATTTTAATATCTCCATGAGTCACATTTGATAATTCATATGTATCTAGGAATCTGTCCATTTCTTCTGTGTTTTCCATCTTATTAGAATACAGGTTCTAGCAGTAGGTATTGGTGATCTTCTGGATTTCTGTAGTACGTGTAGTGATTTCGCCCTTTTCATTCCTAATTGTATGGATTTGTGTCTTTTCTTTCCTCTTTTGATAAGGTTGGCTAAAGGTTTATCTTATTTAATCTTTCAAAGAACTAACTCTTCAATTCATTGATTCTGTTTTCTTAGTCTTCATTTCATTAATTTGTGTTCTGATCTTTTTAAAATTTGTTTATTTATTTATTTTTTGGAGACAGAAACTATGCAGTTCAGGCTAGCCTTGAACTCATTACGTTGCCCAGGCTGCCCTCGAACTTGTGGTGATCCTCCCGCTTCAACCTCCCACTTACTAGGATTACAAGCATGTGCCACCATGTCTGGCTGCTCTGTTTTTTATGTATGTATGAGCTCTGGGTTTGTCTTGCTCTTCTTTTTCCAGAAGCTTGAGGTTCAACGTTCGGTTGTTTATTTGAACTCCCCCTGTTTTTCTGATGTGGGTATTCACCACTATAAATTTCCCTCATAGGACTGCTTTCATTGTGTCCCATAAGTTCCAGTATGTTGTATTGGCATTCTAAGTGTAGAAACTATCTAATTTCTCACAGTTTTGGGGGGGGGGTGTTTGGTACCGTGGATCAAACTTGGGACCTTGTGCTTCTGAGGCAGGTGGCAGAACCACTGAGCTAAATCCCCAGCCCTTGAAACTATCTAATTTCTTCTTTAATTTCATCTGTGACCCATTGGCTGTTCAGAAGGGTGTTAATTTCCAAGTGTTTATGAAGCTCTTATGGTTTCTTTTGCCATTGATTTCCAATTTCATTGCACTATGGTCTGATAATATGCATTGGATAATTTTAATTTTTTTTATATTTAAGCATGTTTTGTGAGCTAGTATGTGGTCTATTTGGGAGAACACCCCATGTGCAGCTGAGAAGAATGTGTATTCTGATGTTGTGGGGTGGAACACTCTGTAGACATCTACTAAGTCCATTTGTTCAATAGTTTGGTTCAGTTCTGATACTTCATTGTTGATTTTTTTTTTTTTTTTACTTGATCTATCTATTTATGACAATGGAGTATTGAGGTCCCTCATTACAACTGTATTAGAGCTTATTTTTTTTTTCATGTCCATTAATATTTGTTTTATATAGTTGG